ATATTTTAAATTTATACTTTGATCTTTATCATTTTAGTAGAAATGCATTAAACAATAAGTAACTTTTTAATTCCATATAATTTATTTAATTTTTTTATAAACAGGAAATTATATCGTATTATTTTCTAGTGAACTATATATTAGACATTGTCAATGAGAATCACAGCAAACCCTGGTTTTAAATGGTGTATATGGAAAACACTACTAATTTGAGGGGGAGAGCATATATTTTATATTATATAAATATAAAATATGATTAAAAATTGCAGCCTTGCATTGTGACAATGTTTCCTTTATATTTATATGCTGCTTATGTCATTCCAAATTATATAACTTTGGATCTATAATTAAAGTTTTGTACTGTTGCGAAGATACTTTCTGTATAATGACATAATAATGTGATCCATTTGAATGAGAAAATGATAATAAGTATATATGAGCATGGTTAGATTGTAGTTAGCTTAGTTATGTTTCTAATATTTATGATATAAAATTACGGGGTGATTTAAATCACCATACATAAACACATTTAGAGACCTATAACGACTTAAATCCTCTGTTATTATATAGCATACCTTAAATGTTAATGTTAATAAATTCATAAATAAAACTTGAAATAAATATACTTCTTTTAGTTAACAATTATCTGAAAATAATTTATAAATTAATACCTTTAATATCGATAATCTTGTAATTGGAATGTTAGAAAACAATTTTAAAGCCAGTTCCTGTTCTGTACAGAGATTCATCATACTGTAAATCTAAACAAAATTGTTAGTGTTTTGCTCTGATAATGTATAAATGTTACGTTAATATGTATTGTAAAGAAACAAATTTATTACTTACCATATTGATATCTTCTATTCTGTTAGTTTTAAAATACACGCTGTAAACTTCTGTGTAGATATATTCATCCTAAAAAATATTAGTGATTCAATATATTGTTATTCTAGCAAAAAGTACATAATTTTTTTAAAATAGGAGAATAGTGTACTATTGTACTATAATTAATAATAATAACATTTATTTAAAAAATTAAATACTAGGAAAACTTATGGAATAAATTTTCCAAAGCTTACAATAAAATTCACAGCTCAAACTTGTCAAAAACAAAACACAATATATTTAATATGTTCCCAATTCTTCCGTCCAGTCCTGATGAAAACTGTAAATTTTTAATCTTGACCATGCAATGTCCTTTGCAATCGGAGGGATCATACTCATACCTTTGCCTACTTGGACTGCTCTTATTCGATCTATTAATTGATTATTTCGAAATTTTAAAAAATAAACCATTGAAATGATGGAGGGAATGCATATGCAACGTCCAAGATCATTTCAATATATACAGTGTGATTACAATTAAAGAGTAAATATTAAAAACTTTCTGTAAAAAAACTATACTGCAAACCTAATGTATGCTACTTCAATTTTCGAAAGAGAATTTAATTTATTTTAAAGTTCAATTAATATGTTAAAATTTGGAGCTGATGTTTTCTCAACTTGCACATCATATTCGTTTCGCAAGCAAGTATAGGTACTCAACACCCACAGCTACTATTGTTTCGCTAAATTTCAGTCTCTCAATTTTTAGTGACGTAAAAATGACGTCTAATAGAAAGTAAATTGTTGCTAGGATAGAGAAGAAATAAAAAATAAAAAAATTAAATGCATATAAAGTGTGTTATGTATATCGTTAATGAATTTTCCGAATTATACGAAATTTCGGTCATCCGGCTGAGGCCCTGTCCCGGTTATCGATATATATAAGAATTAAGTCATATAATATCTACACAAAGTAATACAAGTTACGTTACTTACATTTAATGTGACACTGGACACAAAATAGCTGTAGACGAAAATGACGAAAGTAACACACACCATAATAATTTTAAATGTAATATTTAGTCGTGTGTCCGAAACGGTATTTAACAATAAAAATCTACCGAATGTCAATTCGATACACAACGAAATAATAATTCCAGAAAACGAGAATTCATTCTGTACAACGTTGCATGTCATCAAAGTCTCTCTGGCATTTTGAATCAAATTCCAAATTACAGTTACGTCAATATCGTTCCTTTGATTTTGTATATATTTGCGAATCATACGCATCTGTAATTTCTGAAATTCGCATAAGAATATAAGAAAACATATATGAGAGAAAGCACTCATAATTACGTAAATATTCAAAATTGTACGTTGCAGCAAACAGACGGATTGTCCGAACGACCATTCGTAATTGTTAATTTGTAAATAGTTAATCGAATTTGGAATTAACTGAACGAAACTTATAAATCCGACTACGCCTATGTAAAAGCACACAAGATTATTTTGAATTTTTAACAAAGAATTTATTATGTTTATCCTACGTTCGTTCAGAATTTCTCTCCACACAATTCGAGTATTTCTGAACAATCTTCTGCATTTTGTGCTGTTCCAAAAGAAAAGATATTTTAAAGAAAAACATATGAAAGACGTGATTAAAATTCTTACAACCACAGCATTATTCTTGTACTTTGTAGAATTTTCGCAGAGTTGTAGCGCCATGTCTTCGTTTCCAATGTATAATATCAATATATAACTTATTACCTTAAAGGTAAAGAATATTTTCAGTGTTAGAATATAGAAGTAAGTGAAACTTATTTTCTTATCTGATTTTGTGAAGATATCGGCTCCGGATATTTTCATTATTAGGATAATCGGAGCAAAGACAATCTCTGCAGAAATCTCATTTTGCAGCATTTTTCTGAAGTATATGATAATTTTTCTATACAAGAATAGTAATATTATATTACAACATATTTAAATTCTTATACCAAATTAATTAAACATATAAGGTAAGAACTCAATTCTTATTAACAGTCATCTATAGCAATGTCTTCAAATTTTCGAAACGTTGAAAATCTAACTTGAAATTGCTTTAAATGATCTTAAAACATCAATTTTGAAGACAGCGCAAGTGTGAGTTCTTCAGTTAACTTGTACTGTACAAGATATTATTATTAGAGAATAAAATATTGTAATAAAAATTCGATATTGTTCTTTTCATTAATGAAGTTATGTAATATCGATTTTTATTAATAAGTCATAAATTGAATTTATTAATAGAAATCGATATTTCACTCATCCATTTACGAAAATATTTCATTAAGTGGTCTACATATGTTTTCATTATGCAACGTGCATAATGGAAATATATGGAGACCACTTAATGAAATATTTTCGTAAATGGATGGATAAATATACGTAATATATCGATTATTTTATGATTATATTTAGAATATTATTAATGCTTGTGTTGCTAACTACATATGCCGCTTTATATTCAACCGCTTTGTATTTTATTCGCTTTTCGGTATATTGGTTAATAAGTTGTAGCAATTATTCATTATAAACTTTTACGTATAGAAAANTATCGATTATTTTATGATTATATTTAGAATATTATTAATGCTTGTGTTGCTAACTACATATGCCGCTTTATATTCAACCGCTTTGTATTTTATTCGCTTTTCGGTATATTGGTTAATAAGTTGTAGCAATTATTCATTATAAACTTTTACGTATAGAAAATTTTATTATAAACCAATAGGAATGTTTATCAATTGAATGGCTCTCTGAAATAATAAGATAAAAATATGCCTATTTCTCTAATTGTTCATTTTAGTTTATAGTACCTGAAGTAATATTTTTTTATTGAATACGAGCAAAAATCAAGCTTGGAAATGATTCTGTTTATTGTAATTTCTAACTTATTTAATAAAAAAAAATTTTTAATTGGGTTGCAATCTTTAAATTGCAGACCTTAATATGATATGTAATGCAAGACAATATTACAGACAAGTGCATTGTGTATCGAAATCTAAAAAATTGCAGCTAAGCATTATGACAATATCACAACGAGCAATTATTTATTGTGACATCGTCACAATATTATTCGATATTCAATCAAAATATATAACTTTTAAATTACTTGTTTTTCAAATAGGATAAGGACATTTCACTTTCTTGGCTGTAAAATACAACAGAGGGAAAGGATGGCGATCAGGCAAAAAATGACACCAAGACTTTTAAATTATTGAATGTAGGAAACCTTGTAACGTCGAAAAACACAAAAATATTCGGGGAAAATTTCATTATGTCTGGTTGTTAGTGTGTGGGAAGCTCTGTGCGATTTAGTTCACCCCCTTTCAAGCATTTGAAAGAGGGTGAACCAAACGCCTTCTTGACACAGAAATTAAAAATTTCATTGTCAAGAGCAGTTAGAAAATAATTTTCTTCCATTAACCATTCGTAATACTATAAGTCAGGTAAAAAAATAAGGTGCAATAATTCGCGCAGATTTCATGAATCACGTCAAAAAGTTCTATAGTAACTGCTTAGATTATTTAGAAGAGTGATCGGTACATTACAATGATATTGGACATTTTCATCGGTTACGTTAAAACGAGAAATTAAATGGAAAGATGCGCAAAAATCACTCGATCACATTAATCAACATTTTCCAGATAGTAATATTTCCGAAAATGAACTTTTGAATCAGGTATTATTATTAAAAAATATATATCGATAAGGAAAAGGTTAAATCTTGGGCATCAGCAAAAATCTCAACACAGAACAGATGGTTAGAAAAATTTCATCATTTTGTAAAAAACTATGTTCTATACAATAATGCAATATAAATTGTTGTATACGCAATGTCCTTACCGGGAACAAATTTCGCCACTGAACGCGTTTTTTTCCCGTAAATAAAGTGTAGACATCTGATAAATGACAATTAAGTATTGAGACTTTGAAAGCTGTATTATGTATGCAATATACTTTAACAAATTCTTGCAAAAAATTTTTATAACATTTTAAACATTTTAAATCTACTAAGAAAAATTCACTCAAATGAGAAATATGCGAATGAATAAGAAGTTTTTAAAAATTTATAATAGTATTTATATTTATTATATTTATAAATTATACATATGTTGAAATTTAAAAAAAAAACAAACTATAATTCAGTTTAATACAATTTTTGCGCTTATTGATGATAAAATTTTGTTGCTTTTTTTTCAACAAGACAACCACTCCTCTTTTCGTGAATTTTGTTCCGCTTTACCAGTATTAAAATATGGTCACTTTAATATTCTGTGCTAAATTGCAACTTCTGACATGTACTCTTCATACCTCTAAGGTTGCAAGCCACGATTTTACAAACAAGACATAATCTTGTCAATAAAGTAATCGGATTTATAATATAAATACAGTCGTCTTCGTTGTTAAAATCTGCGAGTTTTCTTTCCGGTTCTTAAGTCTACAAAATCACAGAAATTATTACTTACGCAATTTGCTGACGGAGAAAAGACAGAAAGAATGAAAACTTACCTTCGAATCAGAAATCTCGCCCGAAATGCAGCAGCATAACAAGAATCTATGGAATAAGTGTCTTATGTATCCGATAGACCTTCCTTCTCTTATCGGGTTATTTGCTCGCAACCGCGATTCTTCTTTGTTCCAGGAGTCACATTTCGTCGCAGGCAAATCTTTGTCATCCTGCGGTAGATCAAAATTAAAATTATCCATAATTCCAGTAAAGGATCATTTTCTATTTCGTAGAGAAAAATCAATGGTCTACCTGAATTGGGTAAACTTTGTTTTGCCGAACATTCGGTTTGGCCACTCTTCTCCTACTACAAAGAAATTCTCATTTAATATTAAACAAATCTTATAAATTAACATAATTATCCGTTCAATTTACCTTTTTCTTCCATCTTATCAGTCGAATTTCGCAAAGAAACTTTCCGAACGCACTTAAGCATTCCAACAACAATCGCAACAATTGGAAAACAATAAATCAGAAACATTTGTTGAAAAATTCATTGTAATGACGTCATAGGATGCTATATTATTGTTAAATGTTTTTAATATATAAAATTTAAAACGTTAATCTACGTTTTGTTTACAAATTTCGAGGTAAAACGAATTGGTGGAGATGTCTCCTAGTAAAATAACTGCGGTTATAATTCATACAAATACTTTAACGCTGTTGCTATTGAAGTACATAAGTAGTATCTTAGCAAAAGTAAAAAATATAACACTTTCTTGTAAAATGGTTTTTTGAAACAAACGTGAATCCTCGGTAAAGGATATGATAACTTTAGCAGAGATCGACCGGCGCATAAAAGTTAATGTACATTAAAATATACTTGTATTGTACATAAAAGTAGCTGGGATATCTTTAATCTTATTGATATTGCACAAAGAAAACATAGAGAAAACGAAAGAATAGAACTTTTTGTTTGTTTTCAGTGTCTGAATTCTAAAATTAAAAGATTATAAAGTACAACTTATTGATAAATTCGATATTTTGTAGTTATTTGGTAAAAAATTATTATTTTAATATAAAATCTGTACAGTAGATATATAAATCATGATGTTTTTCATTTATAAATTTTCACACTTTCTTTCGTATTTATATAATCTTCTAACAAGTTCTATAGTAAAAGTTATTTAAGAAAAATAAATATTTATTGTAATTACACGTTCAACGTAACATTTAATGAAAATAACACAGAAGTCTTCGAGCAATGTATGCTAATAATTTTATGGCATTTTTTGACCTTAAATCATAACATTTTAAATATTAATACGCTAATTTAATAATTAAAAATTTAAATTAACGAAAGAAATAGATGACAACATTCGGATTTATTTTTACTATTTCTGACAATTTTATTAAATTTTATGTTATTACATATAAAGCTTTATATTTAAACAATGTTTCATAAGTATTTTATTAATACAATACAATAAACACGAGAAGCATTTTATATTTTATTCCATAAAATGTTTAATATTAATTTTATTTCTCCCAGGAATTTTAGTTACGTTTATGAAAAGTTTGATAAAGTTGGACATTATAATTTTTACGATATGCTGAAAATTCCTGCAATTCTTTAACTCAATTCCGATCTCTTTTAAACCATTTGCTATGTTTTTCGTTAAGTCAGAAATTTGTGGGTAGAATTTTATATATGTACTTTGACTTAACTCGTTTAGGACACACGCAAAGAAACACGTAGAATTCGAGATGACAGGACAGATTTCGGTTAAAGCATTCATCATGTTGCATGTGTTGCAATCTGTCTTACTTATTATTCGTTGCACGATATCCATCAATTTTTGTAATGGCGAATGTGAAGTAGAGCATGTGTCATTTGCTCCCTGTTAAAAAAATGTCTTAAATTTAATAATAATACTAATAAGCTAAAATAATTTACAATTAACGAAGTCAACACGATAGATATATAAAAGTATAGTAAAACCTATTTAAAATGGAAACCTGTTTAGGTAGGTTGCCATTTTAGACAGGTTTTACTGTTTTAGTATATATTTATAAGCTAAAAATATACTTATGTTGGTGTCGTACATGAGTAGAAGGTTTTACTGATGGTTTATTTCTCTCAATTTTTTTCAATCCGTCAATTCTCTCAAATAAAATTATTCCTAAAATAAAACATTTTATTGAAAAAAAATAAATCTATATTTACAGAATATAGAAAAAACTAACTGAATAATGCATTTAAAATTAACTTATTACTTAAAAATAGTTATATATAATCTATAAGCGTATTGCAAACTGTGTAATACTTGAATCAATACTTACCTACGATAGCGAAAATTATGATCTTCATGTTGATGTAGCTTATCCGCAATGAGAAGTGATGCTGCTGCAATTGTTAAGAGTTTATATAGAAGTTTTGATAGTTATTTATGAATTTTTATGTAATAATTACTATATTTGTTTGGATAATATAATGGTATTGATTCATAGAACAGAGTCTCGTCTCCTTGAACGATAGCGTTTTGAGAGATTGAATTTCAATTCACTTCCTGAATAGTGTATATTTTGAAAATTAATAATTAGGTAAGATAAACAAGATTGTAAATTTTTAAAACTAATTCCTTGTACTCTTCAAATGACTAAATACTTGTTGAAATATATTGTGTTCAGTGTTTTGCAATATTATTATATTCTCAAGCGAGTCAATTATTTATATAGGCTATATATATCTAAGTGTGAGAGTAATACCGATAGTTTATACAAGATGTGTGTCAAGTAGACTGGAGCACTTTCTCTACTTCTGTATTTCTCTTAATTTCAAAAATATTCTAAATGTTTTGGTGGAGGGACTACAGTAGAGCCTCGATTATCCGACCCAATTGGGTACTGGGGTTGGTCGGATAATTGAAAAGTCGGATAACCGAAAAGTATGAAAAAATCCATTATTAGTGTAGTATATTATTATATTCCATTTAATTAGTATATTAGTATATCGCTATTAACCTACTTCGCGTTGAATTTTCGTCGATGTTAAGCCTAACAAAAATTTTTTAAAATAATAATCGTCGCTATTGTATCGTTAGAAATTAGAAAATGAAGCCTCGTTTAAATACTGGCTCCCTTTCATGGTCGAATGAGTGTTGCCAGCTAAAACACGTAAAAATAATATTAAAGTAGCCATGACATACCCAAATATTGTAGCGCCACATCACTAGCGGACATTTGAAATTTGCCGACTAGGACGGTCGGTTAATCGGGAGTCGGGTAATCGAGGCTCTACTGTATTTAGAAAATTTTTTCACATTTGGGAGTAAGACACCTTATACCTCCAATGGCATAACTCCTGTCTACAACTATGGATCAATGAAAGCTAAGCACGAATCCCGAAACAGATAAGGAGTCGTTTACAGCTGTAAGATAATCACAGATAGAACTCGGATGGTCGAAAAACTAAAAAAATTATTCATAGGCAGTCATAAGCAATTCGAAATATGTTGGGTTTAGTCCCTCTCTACATGGTTGCCACAGTGTGATTCCGGCTGAACCAAACAAATAAATGGAAAAAGATGTCTTTTTTTACTGCCCACAGAACCAGAAACGAAAAATAAAACAAACAAAACACTGTTAACAGATTTTCGGGCATTTTTGTGTATTCGCGTTTAACATTAATTAATAAATACTTTATAGTTTTAGATCAAAGTAGTCCTATTTCATTTATTCAACTGCCAAAAATTATGTCATAATTTCATGTCTCATCATGATGGATTAGTATGTGCGTATATGGCAACGCGACAACTGCCTGCCTAGGGAGAATGTCTCCTCGAAGTTCATTTAAAAAATTGTCCCTTGTTTAAATGTTTCAAAGCTGAAGAATATCCGAAAATCTCTAGGCGGCCAATCCATTCGTGTAGTCGAACCCAAGATCAATCACAATGAGCACTTCCATTGGCGAGTGGTCACTAGTTGATGGTGGGCATTTTTCTTGTTGAAATAATAAATGTTTTTCAGTATCTTATTTAATATAACCGAAACTTGATGACTTTGCTATATTCAATATTTTTATAATACTGTATTTTTATTAGGAAACATTCATTTATTTTCATAATATGTCGCGCATTAAGTAACATTTTCCAGTGTACTTTGATTTATATAACTTGAGTATTTTAAAGAAATTTTAGGGTAATTAATTTAACGTTGAAAATATAAAGAAACGTTTATTAGCAATAAATGTTGAACGTTGATCCGAACAAATATTTCAAAAATTCGGACGAATGTTTCTGTGCTTATAGATGGAAAGTAATAATTTAAATCTAATGTACAAATTCTATAGTCAAGACCTTGTATTTACGAACACAAATTTGAAATATTATTTCTTTTTATAGGTGTAAGGAGCAATCATTAAAACAAACATAACATTGTGTGTAGTGCTATTGTTATGAAATATTCTAAAAAATTAACTTTTATATTATTAATTATTACAAAAAAACAAAAGAATTAATTTTAAGAATAGAGATGAATGATCTATATATATATATAGGGGAGACCGGGGCAACTTCGGCATGCGGGGCAAGTTTGTCAAGCGCTTTTTTTAAAAAACAAATTAAAAGGAGACTTTGGTTATAGGTTAGGCAGTTGAGTTTTATTGGTGGCTTGTTGAGTGTAGTGTTTTTATTGTTCTCCAACAAGCGTAGTTGAATTATCAAGCAAATTTTCATTTTCGTTCAATTCCATATAATATTTTTTTTCCATTTATATTGAATTGGCAGGTTTTGTTATAATTCCATGATAACGAAAGTTACTTTTCCTGTTAGAAGGATGTAACTTCAACTTATTCACGTGGCCAGATCGTGGCTTGGCATTCTGTTCTCAGGGTTGTACTTAATGTTTCGAAATCATGACTAGCGGGGTAAGATCGGCAACATAAAGCCACATTAGAAGCAAAGGATAAAAATCAAACAGATGATAAATGAAAACATGTTTGCATTTGTTATTCATGTATATATGTCTTTGAACTTGCATTTCGTTGTAATAATATTAAATGGGTGTTGGATTTGTATTTCTTTGTTTTAATAGTGAATTCCAACTTATACATTGTTAATAACATAATTTTATATACGTGCCTATCTTGCCCCATTACTGTTGCCCCTATACCAGGGGCAACTTTAATAAAAATAATTAAAATAATTACAACTTTACAAAAAGAGAGAAGTTGCCGATCTTGCCCCTATACCCGGGGCAACTTCGTCAATTTCTCTCTTCTTGTAAAGTTGTAATTATTTTAATTATTTTTATTTCCAAACTGATTTTAACCAGTTCTATAGTAAGGTAACATTCCAATAGACAATATGCAAAGCTTTTTTTTCAGTTTACAGCAGTATTTATTACACAAAATTTAAGTAAAGCTTAACATGCCGATCTTGCCCAGGTCTCCCCTAATTGTAAATGGTAATAACAAATAAAATCTTTATTAAGTCCAGTACCACTCGAGATACGATATACGTCCCGTCGATCTTTAACTTCCAAAATTTAACAGCCTCAATCTTTTTATACCCAAATGTCCTTACATAATTTTAAAAATTTTCGACAAAAGACACAAGAGTTATAATGCTTCAAACCGGATGAATAATATTATCTTCCACACACTAACAAAAACTGACCCCTCCCAACATTTCTGCATTTTTGCACTCAGGGGACTTTAAAACTTCGAAAAGAGCAAAAAATTGAAAGTTTTTTTCACGTATGGATGTTAGTGTATATCAGAGGGCATTATAGTTGTTTGTCAAGATTTCGGAAGTTCCCACACCTTAATCCTATTCATTTCTAACTGTGATGGCACGAAGGCTTTCGTGATAAAACATTGCGAAATGAATCAAATGTATATCTAATGTGTTTATATCAATTAAACTTGAATGAAAAAGACATATTCCTATTTTTATAAAGAAATAGGCAACGTGTAGAAATTGTGTAATAAATAACGCCATTTTATTACGTCTATTAATATGCCAAATTTCGTTGAAATAAGTCGAGTCGTTCCCTAGTAAAATGTGAAAGATTTCTCCATTCGCTCGTTGAGCTTCAACGATATTGAAATTTTTTGCCTGAAATTTTTATCTTATGGCTCGTTGACAGGTGCAAAAATTTTCCTGCAATTTCGTTGTGCACTTTTTTCTACATAATTGCTGATAAAAGTAAACTGCAATTATAGATACCGTGTACATATTTAATGGCCCAGATATCCTAACTATCAATTGTTTCTAATTTTTGCCTCATATCAGAGATAAATGTAAACGAAAATGTAAAATGTATATTACTAATTAAAATTCTTTCCTGTTGTTAAGGATTAAAAAGCGTTAAGTTATAATATAAACCGTTAGTTTTCCGCTTTCTAGCTTAAAATCAAATTTATAATTTAAATATTGTTCGAAAATATCGAACGTCATTTAAATCAACGAAGAAATTCATTTCGAACGATTGAAGATGAATCCTTTTAAATTTATCTTTGAAATCTGGTTTATTATTTCTTATAAATTACAAATTTCAGAGTCAAAATTGCCTATGGCTGTTAATATCAGCTCATACAGGTTTGTTCACTATGAAAATTCGGAGTATCCTTATTTAACGTTCAACGCTTTCCACAAATCATTAAACTTCAAATTGCAGCCTGATTTATCTCCATTATTCTTGACTACTAAAGTATTTATTTATGAAGACAATAACATTAAGAAGTTCTATTTACAAAACTTCTTCTCAGACGGACACATTCTTTTCAAGGGATATCTCGAAGGAACAGATGATACTAAAATAACAGGATATTACTTAGGAGAAGTGTTTATTGGAAGAATCATTATTAACAATACAGTTTACTCTGTAGAGCCAGGTTTTCCTTACGTTCCTCGAGCACATACCAGACTTGGAATTTTCTACAGCCTCGATGATGTCAATGAGCTTAGCCAAACTGAATTTGTAACGTGTGAAAGATTAAGGACAGACTATGAAAGAAGTTATAATCACATCATTTTCTCTGATGACAACTACAATAAATTGAAAAGCACTACTTCTCAAAGGTAAGATTTCAACATTTGCTTATGTAGGAGAGCGTAGCTAACCGAGTGCAATTTTTTCAATGTTTTTTAATAAGTTCGATGCTCTGAAAACTTTTATTTTATTTGTGCTGTGTTATAGGCTTATATATAGTAAACTAGCAGACCCCGCCACGCCTTGTTGTGGCTCAAAATGTATCTATTATAAATGTATAACACTTCCCGCCTAGGAGAAAATTTTTCGAAAAATTTCTTCTCAGTGTACACTCTCTTGAGTACCCTATTAAAACGCAATCAAAAATGCAAAAACCCGCATCTAAAATAGTATAATAGAAGCCAAGTTTTTCACAGTAAGCCTTAATCCTGTCCCTCTCCCCCGCGGGGAAATGTCGAAAAATCCCTTCTTTGTGTACATTGTGTTGACGTACCCTATTAAAACGCAATCAAAAACGCAAAAACCCGCATCTAAAATAGTATAATAGAAGCCAAGTTTTTCACAGTAAGCCTTAATCCTGTCCCTCTCCCCCCAATGGGGTAATTTCGACATGTATTCGACAGCCTATGTCCACCCTGAGGTTCCATTCTAAATATTGGTGAAAGAATTTTTGAAATCGGATGAGTAGTTTTGGAGATTACCTGCTGCATACAAACTAACATACAAACATTACCTCTTTATTATATTAGTATAGATAAGGGAAAAATAGTTTTGTCTGAATATACATATAATAGAATGTGTAAAAATATTATTGTTAACATGTAAATTGGGCCACTTAACATATATCTGGGGTTATTCATTATCGGAGAGACTTGCTGCATCTTCATCATGATTGTAATCATCATCAATGAGATTCAAAGAAGAGTCACTTTCATAGGTGGTATCCGTTTCACTCATTGTTTCTTCACATAAATTGCATTTTAAAGAAAGCCTAATGTTGAGCGATTCTATTTTTTGTTTTCGCTTGCACATAAGATTTAGCTTTCTTCTTTGCACGAGCCTGAGCTTCTTCGAGCAGTTTCTTCACCAAAGTGAACTGGACGATCCCCAATAAAAAAAACATAAGACCTATAGATCAGAGAAAGTTTTTTACAAATGTTATGTACAGTACGGTTGTATTAGAGCAAATTATAGTATGCTACATTCACAAACCTTCAATTGGCCTCTTCTGATTCGAGCTATTAGCAAGAAAAAAGATCTGTTTAGGAATTGCTGTTTTCTAATGTGCTAAACCAATCTCTTGCTGAAAGATTTTTTTATTTGTGCTGCAACAGAGGTACAAACGCGCGGTTAACTGAACAGATTCAATTAAGCCCAACTATTCCAGGCACAGTTAACCTCAAAATAATTTTTTCCGGCATCAATATTCGAAAATAGCATGACAAAATAAACTAAAATTTTACAATTTCCTGCGGATTTCCATCATTCAACAATGGCATCTACTTAGCATATCTGAGAGCGGCCATATTACACATAAGACATCGATCCCCTAAACGGAATCAATGGCACTCAGCAGATCAGAAAAATATGAAAACTATCGAAAAAAAACTTCTGTACTCAGTTAACCCCGCTCCTTCCTATAGCTTATTATTAAATGCTATAAGAAAATACGTAAAAAATTATTATAAGAGAACTATAAATATAATTTTAGAATTATATTGCGAGAAACAATGTAATTAATATTTTTAAACGTATAATTTTCAAAAATACTGGATATTTAATGCAAATTATTAATAATTGTTATGTCAGAATTAATAACTATAATTCTTACAGATCTAATAAAATATGCACTTTAGAAATATTGATTGATCACACATATTTTCAATACATGGAATCTGATAAGCAATCTGTGCTACTGGAAGTTCTACACCTTATAAACATCGCCAATTCGATATTCAAAAAATCAGACGTTGACGGAAGTAGAAAATCGGACGTTATAGAATTCCTAATCGACCAAATAACGATATTCGAAAAGAGAATTCAAATAGCGTATCCATATTCATACCAGAGCAGCGACAGTCCAGGATTTATACAAAACTTAAAGCAATACAAAAGTCCTTACTGTCTGTTGATTTATTTCACTCATAAAGATTTCGAGAAAGAAAACCTGTGCACCAATAACAAACTCGGAAGAATATGCCCTGATTTTGATTCAAAAGAAAGAACACACAACGTCATATTTGTTACAAATGTCGTTAAAGGAAGAGAAATTCCACGATACAGAATGGCATTGACGTTATTACGTCATCTGGGACACGCATTCGGATGCAAACACGATCCTGTAAATGCTTCTGTGTGCACATCTTCACACTTTTATAAGGATGATGGCAAATATATTATGGAACCTCAATACACAAGCGGAGCACATAATAACAATTGGAAATTTTCAATCTGTTGTCTGAAATCAATGAAGAAATTTATTAAACGCAGAGGTAGGTCTAATTAAGGATTACATTTTCCATATTGTTGATTACATAAATAGTGATTAATTTTTTAAAAAACAGATTCGTGTTTGAAAATGGTGTCTAAATCTTCGTGTGGAAACGGCATCGTCGAAGAAGGTGAAAACTGCGACTGCAATCCTGCAGAAAAAACGTGTATAAATACAAGTTTATGCTGTCACAATAAACATCACCCTATGAGATGTACCCTTAAGACAGGAGCGTACTGCACATTTGGAACAGATGAATGCTGTAATTATAAATGTGCAAACGTTACTTCCAATGAATATAGACCTTGTTTCAGTAACAAACCTTGTTGGAACGTTAGCAGTATTTGTGACGGGTATTCTCCATTCTGTCCTGCACAAATGCAACCCGATAATATATCGTGCCTAAATAACAGAGGGATTTGTATAAAAGGAAAGTGCGATACCGATATTTGTAAAATATATGGTCTACAGTCTTGTCAATGTTCTACTCGTCACACCGAGTGTTATGTCTGTTGCAAAAATAAATCCAGTGAGTGTCTACCAGCAACATTATTCGAAATCTTCACTCCGACTTCTGAACCTTACGTCAGGAAAAAGGATACTCTTTGCGACAATAATTACGGATTGTGTCTAAGGTAAATATATTTATAACTTGTATTTAAGGCCCCGAAATAATTATTTTTTATTTTTTAGTAACGGAACTTGCAAAAGAAAAGATATTTTCAAAATACATACAGTCTCAGAGTATTTATATGTCTTACCTTTTCTTGGAATTATACTGATTGCTATTGGATGTTTTGTATCGCATCAAGAAAAGCGACCAAGTATTATTGATACCAGCAAAATATACATGACTAGGAAAACCCTACACAGTATATAAAATGCAGGAATATAGTCTATTGTAACATTATGTAACATTGAATATTATGTGCTATAACTAGAAGTTTAATGCATCGTTTATATTGATTTGTCTGTTTATAGCTTTGGAATAGGTCACGGTACTAACTTGTATATTTAGGATTGAAAATTATTAAATCTTTGTCTTGTGAACACATAGTTCATCTCTTCACTGTTATTGATAAGTATTTTTATATTACTATATTAAATAAATATCATAGGGGAGATCGGGGCAAGATCGGCATGTTAAGCTTTACTTAAATTTTGTGTAATAAATACTGCTGTAAACTGAAAAAAAAGCTTTGCATATTGTCTATTGGAATGTTACCTTACTATAGAACTGGTTAAAATCAGTTTGGAAATAAAAATAATTAAAATAATTACAACTTTACAAGAAGAGAGAAATTGAC